CGCACCGTGTGGAAGGCCGAGCAGAATCTAGGTGACTTTTGAGTCGACTCAAAAGTCACCACATGTGCACCGTGTGGAAGGCCGAGCAGAATCTAGGTGACGTTTGAGTCGACTCAAAAGTCACCACATGCGCACCGTGTGGACGGCCGAGCAGAATCTAGGTGAATTTTGAGTCGACTCAAAAGTCACGACATGCGCACCGTGTGGAAGGCCGAGCAGAATCTAGGTGAATTTTGAGTCGACTCAAAAGTCACCACATGCGCACCGTGTGGAAGGCCGAGCAGAATCTAGGTGACTTTTGAGTCGACTCAAAAGTCACCACATGCGCACCGTGTGGAAGGCCGAGCAGAATCTAGGTGACTTTTGAATCGACTCAAAAGTCACCACATGCGCACCGTGTGGAAGGCCGAGCAGAATCTAGGTGACTTTTGAGTCGACTCAAAAGTCACCACATGCGCACCGTGTGGAAGGCCGAGCAGAATCTAGGTGACCTTTGAGTCGACTCAAAAGTCACCACATGCGCACCGTGTGGAAGACCGAGCAGAATCTAGGTGACTTTTGAATCGACGCAAAAGTCACCACATGCGCACCGTGTGGAAGGCCGAGCAGAATCTAGGTGACTTTTGAGTCGACTCAAAAGTCACCACATGCGCACCGTGTGGAAGGCCGAGCAGAATCTAGGTGACTTTTGAGTCGACTCAAAAGTCACCACATGCGCACCGTGTGGAAGGCCGAGCAGAGTCTAGGTGACTTTTGAGTCGACTCAAAAGTCACCACATGCGCACCGTGTGGAAGGCCGAGCAGAATCTAGGTGACGTTTGAGTCGACTCAAAAGTCACCACATGCGCACCGTGTGGACGGCCGAGCAGAATCTAGGTGAATTTTGAGTCGACTCAAAAGTCACCACATGCGCACCGTGTGGAAGGCCGAGCAGAATCTAGGTGAATTTTGAGTCGACTCAAAAGTCACCACATGCGCACCGTGTGGAAGGCCGAGCAGAATCTAGGTGACTTTTGAGTCGACTCAAAAGTCACCACATGCGCACCGTGTGGAAGGCCGAGCAGAATCTAGGTGACTTTTGAATCGACTCAAAAGTCACCACATGCGCACCGTGTGGAAGGCCGAGCAGAATCTAGGTGACTTTTGAGTCGACTCAAAAGTCACCACATGCGCACCGTGTGGAAGGCCGAGCAGAATCTAGGTGACCTTTGAGTCGACTCAAAAGTCACCACATGCGCACCGTGTGGAAGACCGAGCAGAATCTAGGTGACTTTTGAATCGACGCAAAAGTCACCACATGCGCACCGTGTGGAAGGCCGAGCAGAATCTAGGTGACTTTTGAATCGACTCAAAAGTCACCACATGCGCACCGTGTGGAAGGCCGAGCAGAATCTAGGTGACTTTTGAGTCGACTCAAAAGTCACCACATGCGCACCGTGTGGAAGGCCGAGCAGAATCTAGGTGACTTTTGAGTCGACTCAAAAGTCACCACATGCGCACCGTGTGGAAGGCCGAGCAGAATCTAGGTGACTTTTGAGTCGACTCAAAAGTCACCACATGCGCACCGTGTGGAAGGCCGAGCAGAATCTAGGTGACTTTTGAGTCGACTCAAAAGTCACCACATGCGCACCGTGTGGAAGGCCGAGCAGAATCTAGGTGACTTTTGAGTCGACTCAAAAGTCACCACATGCGCACCGTGTGGAAGGCCGAGCAGAATCTAGGTGACTTTTGAGTCGACTCAAAAGTCACCACATGCGCACCGTGTGGAAGGCCGAGCAGAATCTAGGTGACTTTTGAGTCGACTCAAAAGTCACCACATGCGCACCGTGTGGAAGGCCGAGCAGAATCTAGGTGACTTTTGAGTCGACTCAAAAGTCACCACATGCGCACCGTGTGGAAGGCCGAGCAGAATCTAGGTGACTTTTGAGTCGACTCAAAAGTCACCACATGTGCACCGTGTGGAAGGCCGAGCAGAATCTAGGTGACGTTTGAGTCGACTCAAAAGTCACCACATGCGCACCGTGTGGACGGCCGAGCAGAATCTAGGTGAATTTTGAGTCGACTCAAAAGTCACGACATGCGCACCGTGTGGAAGGCCGAGCAGAATCTAGGTGAATTTTGAGTCGACTCAAAAGTCACCACATGCGCACCGTGTGGAAGGCCGAGCAGAATCTAGGTGACTTTTGAGTCGACTCAAAAGTCACCACATGCGCACCGTGTGGAAGGCCGAGCAGAATCTAGGTGACATTTGAATCGACTCAAAAGTCACCACATGCGCACCGTGTGGAAGGCCGAGCAGAATCTAGGTGACTTTTGAGTCGACTCAAAAGTCACCACATGCGCACCGTGTGGAAGGCCGAGCAGAATCTAGGTGACCTTTGAGTCGACTCAAAAGTCACCACATGCGCACCGTGTGGAAGACCGAGCAGAATCTAGGTGACTTTTGAATCGACGCAAAAGTCACCACATGCGCACCGTGTGGAAGGCCGAGCAGAATCTAGGTGACTTTTGAGTCGACTCAAAAGTCACCACATGCGCACCGTGTGGAAGGCCGAGCAGAATCTAGGTGACTTTTGAGTCGACTCAAAAGTCACCACATGCGCACCGTGTGGAAGGCCGAGCAGAATCTAGGTGACTTTTGAGTCGACTCAAAAGTCACCACATGCGCACCGTGTGGAAGGCCGAGCAGAATCTAGGTGACTTTTGAGTCGACTCAAAAGTCACCACATGCGCACCGTGTGGAAGGCCGAGCAGAATCTAGGTGACATTTGAATCGACTCAAAAGTCACCACATGCGCACCGTGTGGAAGGCCGAGCAGAATCTAGGTGACTTTTGAGTCGACTCAAAAGTCACCACATGCGCACCGTGTGGAAGGCCGAGCAGAATCTAGGTGACCTTTGAGTCGACTCAAAAGTCACCACATGCGCACCGTGTGGAAGACCGAGCAGAATCTAGGTGACTTTTGAATCGACGCAAAAGTCACCACATGCGCACCGTGTGGAAGGCCGAGCAGAATCTAGGTGACTTTTGAGTCGACTCAAAAGTCACCACATGCGCACCGTGTGGAAGGCCGAGCAGAATCTAGGTGACTTTTGAGTCGACTCAAAAGTCACCACATGCGCACCGTGTGGAAGGCCGAGCAGAATCTAGGTGACTTTTGAGTCGACTCAAAAGTCACCACATGCGCACCGTGTGGAAGGCCGAGCAGAATCTAGGTGACTTTTGAGTCGACTCAAAAGTCACCACATGCGCACCGTGTGGAAGGCCGAGCAGAATCTAGGTGACGTTTGAGTCGACTCAAAAGTCACCACATGCGCACCGTGTGGACGGCCGAGCAGAATCTAGGTGAATTTTGAGTCGACTCAAAAGTCACCACATGCGCACCGTGTGGAAGGCCGAGCAGAATCTAGGTGAATTTTGAGTCGACTCAAAAGTCACCACATGCGCACCGTGTGGAAGGCCGAGCAGAATCTAGGTGACTTTTGAGTCGACTCAAAAGTCACCACATGCGCACCGTGTGGAAGGCCGAGCAGAATCTAGGTGACTTTTGAGTCGACTCAAAAGTCACCACATGCGCACCGTGTGGAAGGCCGAGCAGAATCTAGGTGACTTTTGAGTCGACTCAAAAGTCACCACATGCGCACCGTGTGGAAGGCCGAGCAGAATCTAGGTGACTTTTGAGTCGACTCAAAAGTCACCACATGCGCACCGTGTGGAAGGCCGAGCAGAATCTAGGTGACTTTTGAGTCGACTCAAAAGTCACCACATGCGCACCGTGTGGAAGGCCGAGCAGAATCTAGGTGACTTTTGAATCGACTCAAAAGTCACCACATGCGCACCGTGTGGAAGGCCGAGCAGAATCTAGGTGACTTTTGAGTCGACTCAAAAGTCACCACATGCGCACCGTGTGGAAGGCCGAGCAGAATCTAGGTGACCTTTGAGTCGACTCAAAAGTCACCACATGCGCACCGTGTGGAAGACCGAGCAGAATCTAGGTGACTTTTGAATCGACGCAAAAGTCACCACATGCGCACCGTGTGGAAGGCCGAGCAGAATCTAGGTGACTTTTGAGTCGACTCAAAAGTCACCACATGCGCACCGTGTGGAAGGCCGAGCAGAATCTAGGTGACTTTTGAGTCGACTCAAAAGTCACCACATGCGCACCGTGTGGAAGGCCGAGCAGAATCTAGGTGACTTTTGAGTCGACTCAAAAGTCACCACATGCGCACCGTGTGGAAGGCCGAGCAGAATCTAGGTGACTTTTGAGTCGACTCAAAAGTCACCACATGCGCACCGTGTGGAAGGCCGAGCAGAATCTAGGTGACTTTTGAGTCGACTCAAAAGTCACCACATGCGCACCGTGTGGAAGGCCGAGCAGAATCTAGGTGACTTTTGAGTCGACTCAAAAGTCACCACATGCGCACCGTGTGGAAGGCCGAGCAGAATCTAGGTGACTTTTGAGTCGACTCAAAAGTCACCACATGCGCACCGTGTGGAAGGCCGAGCAGAATCTAGGTGACTTTTGAGTCGACTCAAAAGTCACCACATGCGCACCGTGTGGAAGGCCGAGCAGAATCTAGGTGACTTTTGAGTCGACTCAAAAGTCACCACATGCGCACCGTGTGGAAGGCCGAGCAGAATCTCTGGAGCCAAGTAGTCAGGTGTTCCCACTGCCTCCACTGCCACTCTCCCTCCTCCCTCTGCTGCTGCTCCCCTGCTCTCTCCTACCCCAGAACCACCTGTCGCGGCACCAGCAGCAGCTGTAGCAGCAGTTGCATCTGTGGCATTTGACATGGCAGCAGCAGGAGCAGCACAGGTGGATTCACTGGTAGCCTTCTCCTCCTCATCGCCCTCCCTCCCATACACAACCACTCCATTCTCCTCCCCACAAACCTTGCTTGCCTCTTGGTTTTCCGTGCACTCTCCCCCTCCCTTATGCTCCTCACTCTCAACGTTGCCACTGCCATTGCCATTGCCATTGCCGTTGCCACTGCCTGTGTTACCGCTCCCCCCATTCCCCTCGCTCGCCCCTGCCAGGCGTCTCAGCAGGGAGGCGTGCTGAGCCTGCTGCTGCCACCGCTGTGTGATGATCTGAGACGGAGACGAGCAGTGCATCCCCCCTCCTCCTCCCCCTCCGCCTCCGCCTCCCCCTACCCCCCCTCCTCCTCCTCCCGCTCCCCCTCCGCCTCCCCCCCCACCCCCTCCCCCTGCAAAATGCGAAGGCGAGGAACAAAACGACCCCCCTCCCCCTCCTTTTCCACCCCCTCCCCCACCCCCCAACCCGGAAGGATGCAGAGGGGAAGAGCAAGCAGAAGCATGCAGGGGGGAGGCATATCCGGGTGCATGCATGGGAGAGCAGTAGCCAGAGGCAGGGTTGGAGTGTTGACCAGAGAGAGTGGAGGGAGGGCCGGAGCGGGGCGAGGGGAATTCCTGCAGGCTGGATGCGGTCCAGAGCGGTGAGTCTGCTGCTGCTCCTTCAGAACTGACGCTGAATGAATGCGGGAAAAGCTTGCCTGTGCGTGGGGAGCGGGGGAAGGGGGGGAAGAGAGAGTGGAGAAGGGAAAGGGGGAAAGAGAGAGTGGAGAAGGGAAGGGGGGGAAGAGAGAGTGGAGAAAGGAAGGGGGGGAAGAGAGAGTGGAGAAGGGAAGGGGGGGAAGAGAGAGTGGAGAAGGGAAGGGGGGGAAGAGAGAGTGGAGAAGGGAAGGGGGGGAAGAGAGAGTGGAGAAGGGAACGGGGGGAAGAGAGAGTGGAGAAGGGAAGGGGGGGAAGAGAGAGTGGAGAAGGGAAGGGGGGGAAGAGAGAGTGGAGAAGGGAAGGGGGGGAAGAGAGAGTGGAGAAGGGAAGGGGGGGAAGAGAGAGTGGAGAAGGGAAGGGGGGGAAGAGAGAGTGGAGAAGGGAACGGGGGGAAGAGAGAGTGGAGAAGGGAAGGGGGGGAAGAGAGAGTGGAGAAGGGAAGGGGGGGAAGAGAGAGTGGAGAAGGGAAGGGGGGGAAGAGAGAGTGGAGAAGGGAAGGGGGGGAAGAGAGAGTGGAGAAGGGAAGGGGGGGAAGAGAGAGTGGAGAAGGGAAGGGGGGGAAGAGAGAGTGGAGAAGGGAAGGGGGGGTGGAGAAGGGAAGGGGGGGAAGAGAGAGTGGAGAAGGGAAGGAGATGAAAGTCTCAGTAAGTGGGGCAAGAGAGGCAAGTCGGGAGCTGCTCATTCGGAGCTGACGCTGAATGAATGCGGTTGAAGCTTGCCTGAGCGAGGGAAGGCGGGATGGGAGCAAGGGGGGATGGGAGCAAGGGGGGATGGGAGCAAGGGGGGATGGGAGCAAGGGGGGATGGGAAGGGGACCGGGAGGAGCGGAGGAGATGAATCAGTGGGCAGAAGGCGTGAGTATGTGCCTGCTCCTTCCAAATTCAGGCTGTAAAGTGGGGGATGTGGGAGTGCTTACCAAGGGAGGTGGTTACCAGGGAGGTGTTTCATCAGCGCAGGTGCTTATCAGGGGAGGTGCTTACTGAAGGAGGTGTTTCATCATTGGAGGTGCTTACTGAAGGAGGTGTTTCATCAGTGGAGGTGCTTACCAGGGGAGGTGCTTACTGAAGGAGGTGTTTCATCATTGGAGGTGCTTACCAGGGGAGGAAGGCGCAGAGGCGTGGTGGGAGGGGATGGGCTGCTGCTGATTGGTGGAGAGGTCCCCGGCACTGTTGATCAGGCCCACCCTTGACAGCCCGAAGTCCGTCAGCTGAGGGTTTGGTGAGGGGTGGTGACGGGTGAAGAGGAGTGATGAGTGGTGACGGGAGGTGATGGGCACACTAAGGGCACTGTCGATGAGCCCCACCCTGGACAGACCAAAGTCCGTCAGCTGTAGGGTAGTGTGGGTGGGTGGTAAGGGGTGGTGAGGGGTGGTGAGGAGGGGTGATGGGGTTGGTGGAGCAAGGCATGACAAGCGAGCCACACCAAACAAAACTGAACCTGGAAATCCTAGGAAGCACAATGAAACGATTCATACATGAGCATCTCATCTTGATGTGCCCATCGTGTGCGTGCGATAGGCAAGTTGTCTTGTCTTGTCCGGCAGTCGCCTTGTGAGACCCACCCACCCACCGGCCTTCACAGTACAGTGAAACGACAGCATGAGCATCCTACCCACCTCACCCATCTCACCTTGATATGCCCATCGTGTGCTATGAGCAGGTTGTCCGGCTTGATGTCCCGATGCACCACCCCCAGCCCACGGAGTGAAGCCATTAGAGGCTCCTCAAAAGCCATGAAGCAACAGAATGAGCATCCCACCCACCTCACTCATCTCACCTTGATATGCCCGTCGTGTGCTATGAGTAGGTTGTCCGGCTTGATGTCCCGATGCACCACCCCCAAGGAGTGCAGATACTCCAGCGCTTGCACCTGGTTGCAGTTGGAGTGGAGAGGGGTTGGATGGGGTGGAGATGGGGGCGGAGGGTTGGAAGGGAATACACCACCCCCAGTGCATCACCCACAGGGAGTGCAGATACTCCAACCCAATGCTTGCATCTGGGGGGGGGTTGGTATGGGAGACAAATAGGGGTCACGGGGGAGACGACATTGCCAGTCAACGCCAGCCAAGGGCAGTAACGCCAGTCAATGGTAGTGAACGCCAGTCAACGCCAGTCAACCCCAGTGAGCACGCACCAGCTCGGCGGTGTAGAAGCAAGCAGTGGACTCCTCTAGCGCCTCGCAGGCGTGCAGCAGCGAGAAGAGGTCGCCCCCATCCAGACACTCCATCACCATGTACAGGTTCTCTCAACCCAATATGTGACGAAGTAGACCCAGTCAACGCCAGTCAACCCTAGTCAACCCACCAGCTCAGCAGTGTAGAAGCAGGCGGTGGATTCTTCGAGTGCCTCGCAGGCGCGCAGCAGGGAGAAGAGGTCGCCGCCATCGAGATACTCCATCACCATGTAGAGGTTCTCCCGACACGTGAACGAGTAGAAGCAGCGCACCACAAACGGGCTCCTGGCGGAAGCGAGGATGTTGCGCTCCGCCTGCACGCTCTCCACTGCGTTCTTTCGGATCATGTCCGCCTTGCGCAGCACCTGGGGCAGGGGGGGGGAGGCGGGGAGGTGGGAGGGGGAGGGGGAACGGGCACGTGTACAAGTGAGTGCCATACACACACACACACACACACACACTCACACACACACACTCTCTCACACACACACACACACTCACACACACACTCTCTCTCTCTCACACACACACACACAGACACACACACACAAAAAGGCCTCGTCCTCTCGCCCTCCTTCCCTCCTGCTACCTACCTTGATAGCAAACAGGTCTCCTGTCGTCCGCTTCTGAGCCAGGAACACCCTCCCATACGCGCCCTTGCTGATAGGCTTGATGATCTCAAAGTCATCAATTGTTGTGCGCTGCTCCTTCTCTCCCATTCCCCCTCCGCCTCCGCCGCCCCCTCCCCTGCTCCCCCCACCGCCAATGCTCCCCAGTGAGTGGGGGAGAGCGAACGCCCCCCCTGTGGCGCTGGGGTTGCTGGTGGGGGAAGCTGCTGCTGCTTCGGACCCGCTTTGATAGGACCTAAGCTGCAACACGCGTTGGTACTTCTCTCTGGAGGAAAGAGGGAGAGAAACAGGAGGAGGGAGGAGACGAGGAGGGAGGGGGGAGAGGGGGTCGCAAATTCGTACGTATATACCCCCAAATCTGATGGTCATCCCATCCTTACTGCAGCAGGATGGCGGTGCGCAACCCCACGATCTGCACGCAGGGGAAGGCTGGAAGCACGCAGAGCAGCTTGTGTCTGATCACACGTACACTCTCTCTCACTCAAAACACCAACACCAAGCAGTTACCATCTCATCCTTACTGCAACAAGATCGCAATTCGCAGCCCGAAGATCTGCACGCAGGGGAAGCACGCCGCGTGCAAGCGCAGGAGGGTGGAGAGGTCGTGGATGTCGGTGGAGAGCAGCGCACAGACGCACAACCACACACTATCCAACACTCTGTCACACTGTGTGCCGTGTCACACTGTGTGCCGTGTCACACATACACTCCCTGACTCCAGACACCAAACACCATGAAGAGACAATGCGCTCTAAGCCATGCTTACTGCAACAAGATGGCGATGCGCAGCCCGAAGATCTGCACGCAAGGAAAGCGCGCAGCATGCGAGCGCAGGAGGGCGGAGAGGTCGTGGATGTCGGTGGAGAGCAGCGCGAGTGCGTCCGCCTGCCCCACCTGCACCTCCCCCACGTCCTCCGCTATGTCTGCTAGGTCGTTCAGCTGGGGGAGGGGAGAAGGGGGGGGAGGTGGGGGAGATGGTGGGGAGGAGGTGGGGGGGAAGTGGGGGGAAAGTGGGGGCGAGAAGGGGGAACGAGATAGGGTGAGCACGGGGAAGAGGAAGAGTGAAGGGAGGGTGTGAGAGGCAGCAGCGTGTCATCAGTGTAGGAGCGCAGGAGGGCGGAGAGGTCGTGGATGTCGGTGGAGAGCAGCGCGAGGGCGTCCGCCTGCCCCACCTGCACCTCCCCCACGTCCTCCGCTATGTCTGCCAGATCGTTCAGCTGGGGGAGCGGAGAGAAGGTGGGAGAAGGAACGCAAGGGGTGGCATAGCTGAAATAACATCTGCCTGCCCCACTGCACCTCCCCCACATCCTCTGCTATGTCCGCCAGATCGTTCAGCTGTAGCGTGGGGGGGAAGGGGCGAGGGTGGGAGGTGTGGAGAGGTGCAGAGGAAGTAGGGGAGGGAGGTAGGGTACGCACATGATAAGCACTGAAGAGAGAGAAAGCGAAAAGCAACAAGCATGGCAGCAGAGCGAATCCGTCTGCCCCAACTGCACCTCCCCCACATCCTCCACTGGGTCCGTCAGTTCGTTCAGCTGGAGCGAGGGGGGGTGCGGGGAGGGGAAAAGTATAAGGCGGACGTAAGAAGCACAAGGAGGAGTTGATCTAACGGATTTCTCGCAAGCACCACCCCTGCCTTTCTCGCACCCAACTCACCACATTGATCTCCACGTCAATCTCCTCCACAGCCGCACCTGCTCCGCTCCCAGCAGCTTTATGTCGCCTCCCAAGGTGACTCATGAGCGAACTCAAAGGTCAACACAAAAGTCAACACAGAAGTTGACTCAAATAGGCACCCAACTCACCACATTGATTTCTTCATCAATCTCCTCCACAGCCGCACCTGCTCCCAACAGCTCCATGTCGCCCCCCACACTGCCCCCTCTCCTTGTCAAAGACTCCCCCCCGGGCAAGCTGCTGCTCTGCCCCCCGCCCGTGCTGTTCATGCTGCCCCATGGGCGTTGACTGGCGTTGACTGACGTTGACTGGCCTCTTGGGAGACTCTTAGACTGCACGTGGTGTGATTGTAAGCCGTGTGCTTGTAGAGTTTGACTGTGAGAAGCTGAAGCAGGCAGTGACCTTGCAGTGGCCAGGACTGCTGCTGTTGCCGCTGTCTCTGCTGCTGCTTTTGCCTTTGTTGCTGCTGCTTCTGATACTCCTGTTGCTGTTGCTGCTGCTGCAACCGCTCCTTGCGCTGCTACTGCCGCTGCTGCTGCACAATCTGACACCCGGGCAGAATCAGCTGAGTCAGTTGAAGAGGAGCAGGCATTTGGAATACCCGTGCGTTCGGCCTGGGAAAGCACAGGAAGGGAGTTGGAGAGAGCATGTTGCTTGGCAGCAGGGGAGAGGCTGGGAAAGGACGCACTGGCAAGACCACCCAGTCGCTTGGCAGCAGAGGAGAGGCTGGGGGACGAGGGGTTGGATAGCCCTGTTCGCTTGGCGGCAGGGGAGAGGAGCGGGGAGGAGGAGTTGGACAGGGCGGTTCGTGTGGCGGGGGAGAGGGTGGGGGAGGAGGAGGCGGAGAGGGAGAGGCCAGCGCGTTTCATGAGGGGCACGAGGTCCAGCTTCCATGGGCTGCCGTGTGCCTGGGAGGTGCGCACTGACAGGGGCGACCGCTGCTGCTGCTGCTGCTGCGGATGGTGATGTGGTGGTTGTCTCTGCAATTGATCAACATGTGGTGGCGATGCTGATGGTGGCGGCAGTAATGATGGATGGGTGGCTGCTGCTTGCTGCTGCTTTGCCTGCTCTGACATCAGCTGCTGCTGCTTTGCCTGCTCTGACATCAGCTGCTGCTGCTTTGCCTGCTCTGACATCAGCTGCTGCTGCTTTGCCTGCTCTGACATCAGCTGCTGCTGCTTTGCCTGCTCTGACATCAGCTGCTGCTGCTTTGCCTGCTCTGGCATCAGCTGCTGCTGCTTTGCCTGCTCTGACATCAGCTGCTGCTGCTTTGCCTGCTCTGACATCAGCTGCTGCTGCTTTGCCTGCTCTGACATCAGCTGCTGCTGCTTTGCCTGCTCTGACATCAGCTGCTGCTGCTTTGCCTGCTCTGGCATCAGCTGCTGCTGCTTTGCCTGCTCTGACATCAGCTGCTGCTGCTTTGCCTGCTCTGACATCAGCTGCTGCTGCTTTGCCTGCTCTGGCATCAGCTGCTGCTGCTTTGCCTGCTCTGACATCAGCTGCTGCTGCTTTGCCTGCTCTGACATCAGCTGCTGCTGCTTTGCCTGCTCTGACATCAGCTGCTGCTGCTTTGCCTGCTCTGGCATCAGCTGCTGCTGCTTTGCCTGCTCTGACATCAGCTGCTGCTGCTTTGCCTGCTCTGACATCAGCTGCTGCTGCTTTGCCTGCTCTGACATCAGCTGCTGCTGCTTTGCCTGCTCTGACATCAGCTGCTGCTGCTTTGCCTGCTCTGACATCAGCTGCTGCTGCTTTGCCTGCTCTGACATCAGCTGCTGCTGCTTTGCCTGCTCTGGCATCAGCTGCTGCTGCTTTGCCTGCTCTGGCATCAGCTGCTGCTGCTTTGCCTGCTCTGACATCAGCTGCTGCTGCTTTGCCTGCTCTGGCATCAGCTGCTGCTGCTTTGCCTGCTCTGGCATCAGCTGCTGCTGCTTTGCCTGCTCTGACATCAGCTGCTGCTGCTTTGCCTGCTCTGGCATCAGCTGCTGCTGCTTTGCCTGCTCTGGCATCAGCTGCTGCTGCTTTGCCTGCTCTGGCATCAGCTGCTGCTGCTTTGCCTGCTCTGGCATCAGCTGCTGCTGCTTTGCCTGCTCTGGCATCAGCTGCTGCTGCTTTGCCTGCTCTGGCATCAGCTGCTGCTGCTTTGCCTGCTCTGACATCAGCTGCTGCTGCTTTGCCTGCTCTGGCATCAGCTGCTGCTGCTTTGCCTGCTCTGGCATCAGCTGCTGCTGCTTTGCCTGCTCTGGCATCAGCTGCTGCTGCTTTGCCTGCTCTGACATCAGCTGCTGCTGCTTTGCCTGCTCTGGCATCAGCTGCTGCTGCTTTGCCTGCTCTGGCATCAGCTGCTGCTGCTTTGCCTGCTCTGACATCAGCTGCTGCTGCTTTGCCTGCTCTGGCATCAGCTGCTGCTGCTTTGCCTGCTCTGACATCAGCTGCTGCTGCTTTGCCTGCTCTGACATCAGCTGCTGCTGCTTTGCCTGCTCTGGCATCAGCTGCTGCTGCTTTGCCTGCTCTGACATCAGCTGCTGCTGCTTTGCCTGCTCTGGCATCAGCTGCTGCTGCTTTGCCTGCTCTGGCATCAGCTGCTGCTGCTTTGCCTGCTCTGACATCAGCTGCTGCTGCTTTGCCTGCTCTGACATCAGCTGCTGCTGCTTTGCCTGCTCTGGCATCAGCTGCTGCTGCTTTGCCTGCTCTGACATCAGCTGCTGCTGCTTTGCCTGCTCTGACATCAGCTGCTGCTGCTTTGCCTGCTCTGACATCAGCTGCTGCTGCTTTGCCTGCTCTGACATCAGCTGCTGCTGCTTTGCCTGCTCTGACATCAGCTGCTGCTGCTTTGCCTGCTCTGGCATCAGCTGCTGCTGCTTTGCCTGCTCTGGCATCAGCTGCTGCTGCTTTGCCTGCTCTGGCATCAGCTGCTGCTGCTTTGCCTGCTCTGACATCAGCTGCTGCTGCTTTGCCTGCTCTGACATCAGCTGCTGCTGCTTTGCCTGCTCTGGCATCAGCTGCTGCTGCTTTGCCTGCTCTGACATCAGCTGCTGCTGCTTTGCCTGCTCTGACATCAGCTGCTGCTGCTTTGCCTGCTCTGACATCAGCTGCTGCTGCTTTGCCTGCTCTGGCATCAGCTGCTGCTGCTTTGCCTGCTCTGACATCAGCTGCTGCTGCTTTGCCTGCTCTGACATCAGCTGCTGCTGCTTTGCCTGCTCTGGCATCAGCTGCTGCTGCTTTGCCTGCTCTGGCATCAGCTGCTGCTGCTTTGCCTGCTCTGACATCAGCTGCTGCTGCTTTGCCTGCTCTGACATCAGCTGCTGCTGCTTTGCCTGCTCTGACATCAGCTGCTGCTGCTTTGCCTGCTCTGGCATCAGCTGCTGCTGCTTTGCCTGCTCTGACATCAGCTGCTGCTGCTTTGCCTGCTCTGACATCAGCTGCTGCTGCTTTGCCTGCTCTGGCATCAGCTGCTGCTGCTTTGCCTGCTCTGGCATCAGCTGCTGCTGCTTTGCCTGCTCTGGCATCAGCTGCTGCTGCTTTGCCTGCTCTGGCATCAGCTGCTGCTGCTTTGCCTGCTCTGGCATCAGCTGCTGCTGCTTTGCCTGCTCTGACATCAGCTGCTGCTGCTTTGCCTGCTCTGGCATCAGCTGCTGCTGCTTTGCCTGCTCTGGCATCAGCTGCTGCTGCTTTGCCTGCTCTGACATCAGCTGCTGCTGCTTTGCCTGCTCTGACATCAGCTGCTGCTGCTTTGCCTGCTCTGGCATCAGCTGCTGCTGCTTTGCCTGCTCTGACATCAGCTGCTGCTGCTTTGCCTGCTCTGACATCAGCTGCTGCTGCTTTGCCTGCTCTGACATCAGCTGCTGCTGCTTTGCCTGCTCTGACATCAGCTGCTGCTGCTTTGCCTGCTCTGGCATCAGCTGCTGCTGCTTTGCCTGCTCTGGCATCAGCTGCTGCTGCTTTGCCTGCTCTGGCATCAGCTGCTGCTGCTTTGCCTGCTCTGGCATCAGCTGCTGCTGCTTTGCCTGCTCTGGCATCAGCTGCTGCTGCTTTGCCTGCTCTGGCATCAGCTGCTGCTGCTTTGCCTGCTCTGACATCAGCTGCTGCTGCTTTGCCTGCTCTGACATCAGCTGCTGCTGCTTTGCCTGCTCTGACATCAGCTGCTGCTGCTTTGCCTGCTCTGACATCAGCTGCTGCTGCTTTGCCTGCTCTGGCATCAGCTGCTGCTGCTTTGCCTGCTCTGACATCAGCTGCTGCTGCTTTGCCTGCTCTGACATCAGCTGCTGCTGCTTTGCCTGCTCTGGCATCAGCTGCTGCTGCTTTGCCTGCTCTGGCATCAGCTGCTGCTGCTTTGCCTGCTCTGACATCAGCTGCTGCTGCTTTGCCTGCTCTGGCATCAGCTGCTGCTGCTTTGCCTGCTCTGGCATCAGCTGCTGCTGCTTTGCCTGCTCTGACATCAGCTGCTGCTGCTTTGCCTGCTCTGACATCAGCTGCTGCTGCTTTGCCTGCTCTGGCATCAGCTGCTGCTGCTTTGCCTGCTCTGACATCAGCTGCTGCTGCTTTGCCTGCTCTGACATCAGCTGCTGCTGCTTTGCCTGCTCTGACATCAGCTGCTGCTGCTTTGCCTGCTCTGACATCAGCTGCTGCTGCTTTGCCTGCTCTGACATCAGCTGCTGCTGCTTTGCCTGCTCTGGCATCAGCTGCTGCTGCTTTGCCTGCTCTGGCATCAGCTGCTGCTGCTTTGCCTGCTCTGGCATCAGCTGCTGCTGCTTTGCCTGCTCTGACATCAGCTGCTGCTGCTTTGCCTGCTCTGACATCAGCTGCTGCTGCTTTGCCTGCTCTGGCATCAGCTGCTGCTGCTTTGCCTGCTCTGACATCAGCTGCTGCTGCTTTGCCTGCTCTGACATCAGCTGCTGCTGCTTTGCCTGCTCTGACATCAGCTGCTGCTGCTTTGCCTGCTCTGGCATCAGCTGCTGCTGCTTTGCCTGCTCTGACATCAGCTGCTGCTGCTTTGCCTGCTCTGACATCAGCTGCTGCTGCTTTGCCTGCTCTGGCATCAGCTGCTGCTGCTTTGCCTGCTCTGGCATCAGCTGCTGCTGCTTTGCCTGCTCTGACATCAGCTGCTGCTGCTTTGCCTGCTCTGACATCAGCTGCTGCTGCTTTGCCTGCTCTGACATCAGCTGCTGCTGCTTTGCCTGCTCTGGCATCAGCTGCTGCTGCTTTGCCTGCTCTGACATCAGCTGCTGCTGCTTTGCCTGCTCTGACATCAGCTGCTGCTGCTTTGCCTGCTCTGGCATCAGCTGCTGCTGCTTTGCCTGCTCTGGCATCAGCTGCTGCTGCTTTGCCTGCTCTGGCATCAGCTGCTGCTGCTTTGCCTGCTCTGGCATCAGCTGCTGCTGCTTTGCCTGCTCTGGCATCAGCTGCTGCTGCTTTGCCTGCTCTGACATCAGCTGCTGCTGCTTTGCCTGCTCTGACATCAGCTGCTGCTGCTTTGCCTGCTCTGGCATCAGCTGCTGCTGCTTTGCCTGCTCTGACATCAGCTGCTGCTGCTTTGCCTGCTCTGACATCAGCTGCTGCTGCTTTGCCTGCTCTGGCATCAGCTGCTGCTGCTTTGCCTGCTCTGACATCAGCTGCTGCTGCTTTGCCTGCTCTGGCATCAGCTGCTGCTGCTTTGCCTGCTCTGGCATCAGCTGCTGCTGCTTTGCCTGCTCTGACATCAGCTGCTGCTGCTTTGCCTGCTCTGGCATCAGCTGCTGCTGCTTTGCCTGCTCTGGCATCAGCTGCTGCTGCTTTGCCTGCTCTGGCATCAGCTGCTGCTGCTTTGCCTGCTCTGACATCAGCTGCTGCTGCTTTGCCTGCTCTGACATCAGCTGCTGCTGCTTTGCCTGCTCTGGCATCAGCTGCTGCTGCTTTGCCTGCTCTGACATCAGCTGCTGCTGCTTTGCCTGCTCTGACATCAGCTGCTGCTGCTTTGCCTGCTCTGACATCAGCTGCTGCTGCTTTGCCTGCTCTGGCATCAGCTGCTGCTGCTTTGCCTGCTCTGACATCAGCTGCTGCTGCTTTGCCTGCTCTGACATCAGCTGCTGCTGCTTTGCCTGCTCTGGCATCAGCTGCTGCTGCTTTGCCTGCTCTGGCATCAGCTGCTGCTGCTTTGCCTGCTCTGACATCAGCTGCTGCTGCTTTGCCTGCTCTGACATCAGCTGCTGCTGCTTTGCCTGCTCTGACATCAGCTGCTGCTGCTTTGCCTGCTCTGGCATCAGCTGCTGCTGCTTTGCCTGCTCTGACATCAGCTGCTGCTGCTTTGCCTGCTCTGACATCAGCTGCTGCTGCTTTGCCTGCTCTGGCATCAGCTGCTGCTGCTTTGCCTGCTCTGGCATCAGCTGCTGCTGCTTTGCCTGCTCTGGCATCAGCTGCTGCTGCTTTGCCTGCTCTGGCATCAGCTGCTGCTGCTTTGCCTGCTCTGGCATCAGCTGCTGCTGCTTTGCCTGCTCTGGCATCAGCTGCTGCTGCTTTGCCTGCTCTGGCATCAGCTGCTGCTGCTTTGCCTGCTCTGGCATCAGCTGCTGCTGCTTTGCCTGCTCTGGCATCAGCTGCTGCTGCTTTGCCTGCTCTGACATCAGCTGCTGCTGCTTTGCCTGCTCTGACATCAGCTGCTGCTGCTTTGCCTGCTCTGACATCAGCTGCTGCTGCTTTGCCTGCTCTGGCATCAGCTGCTGCTGCTTTGCCTGCTCTGGCATCAGCTGCTGCTGCTTTGCCTGCTCTGGCATCAGCTGCTGCTGCTTTGCCTGCTCTGGCATCAGCTGCTGCTGCTTTGCCTGCTCTGGCATCAGCTGCTGCTGCTTTGCCTGCTCTGGCATCAGCTGCTGCTGCTTTGCCTGCTCTGGCATCAGCTGCTGCTGCTTTGCCTGCTCTGGCATCAGCTGCTGCTGCTTTGCCTGCTCTGGCATCAGCTGCTGCTGCTTTGCCTGCTCTGGCATCAGCTGCTGCTGCTTTGCCTGCTCTGGCATCAGCTGCTGCTGCTTTGCCTGCTCTGGCATCAGCTGCTGCTGCTCCTGCTGCTGCGCAGAATGCGAGCTTTCCTCGGCGAAACGCTGCTGTTCCTCTGATGCCTTCTGGGCTAAGTGATGCCGCTGTTTCTTCTCCTCTGAAAGCTCCTGCTCCTTCGCTCCCTTCCCCAGCTGCTCCTGTCTCTCAGGCTCCTCTTGCAATGCATTCTCTGGCTGCTCCTCTAACAACTCATGGGAACCAAGGGATCTCTGATGCGTCTCCACACTCAGCTTGATAGACCCAGGTGCCTTCTCATCCTTCTCTGTGTTCTCCTCTTTCTCTCTGTGCTCCACTTGAGCAGCAAAGTCCCAGTCGCTTCGAGCTGGCTTCATGCCATGGGGGGTGGACTCCAAAGCAGCACCACCTCCATCACCAGTAGCAGCAGCATCACCACCATCACCACCAGCAGTAATAGCAGGAGCAGCAAGAGGAGCATTAGCAGCAGCAGAGACATTAGCAGCGGCAGCAGCAGCATCAGATGCAAAAGCCGCCTCAAGCCGCACAGACAGCTCTGCCACCACCGCATCCAACCCCGCCCCAAGCCTATGTAACCGCTCATCCAGCGGTAACCGCGTGTCGTCGCACCGGTTGGCCAGGGCACAGAGGCACGAGTGCTCCTGCAGGTCCCGCAGTGGAACCTCCTCCTCGCATATCCGGCACATCACCACTGCTTCCTCCTCCAAATTCTCCTTTGCTGACGTGCCTCTGCTCACCCTTCCCCTCTCTACCCCCGTGCCCGCCCCGCCCCCTGCCCTTGCTCCTGCCATCGCCCCCGCCCCCGCCCCTGCACCCGCCCCGGCCCCTGTCCCTGCCGCAGCCCCTGCTCCCGCTCCCATCCCTGCCCCTTCCCCTGCCTCTCCATGTGCTCCTATGCCTTCCCCCATCGCAGATCCTGACGCTATTTCCGTGCCTCCTGCATCTGCTCGCATCCCTAGTAGGTTTTCCCCTTCTCCCCCATACATGTCATCTGTCTCTTGCCGGCCCTTCAACTCCTCTACTATGGCTTTCCAATCCTCCTGCCGCCCGACACTGTCCTGCTGCCCGACACTGTCCTGCCGCCCGACACTGTCCTGCCGCCCGACACTGTCCTGCCGCCCGACACTGTCCTGCCGCCCAATGCTATCCTGCCGCCCAACACTATTCTGACGCAGGATGCTATCCTGCCACCCAGCACTATCACACCGCCCCCAGAAGCCGTACCTGTACGGTAGCAGCTTACCCGAGCTGGTCCTCTCAAGCTTAAGCCTCTCCTTTACTATCTCCAATAACACACTCTCATCCACGCCTGCACTCGCCGCTCCTGCTGCTCCTGCTGCTCCTCGCGATCCCACTACTCCACCCGCCCCCACTGCTCCTGCCGCCTGCTGCTGTCGCGGGGGTGGCGGCTGTTGCAGCTGCTGCTGCTGCTGCTGCTGCTTCTCCCACTCGCTGGATCTATTCGCCGTGTCTGCATACTTTTCAACGGCCTCAGCCGCCTCTTCTTCAACCATCATCCCCTCCACCTCCACCTCCCCTTTCCCCTTCCCCTTCCCCTCCCCCTCCTCGTGGACTCCCACCACCCCCTTCCCCTCGTCTGCAACCGCCGCTTGCAACAGTGCCTCTCTCCCAGTCTCACCACCCATCGCCTCTTGCTCCACCTGCTCTTGCTCCACCTGCACTTCTTTCACCGGCCCTTGCTCCACCTGTCCTTCCTTCACCTGCCCTTCCTGCTCCTCCCTCAGCTCTCCTATCCTCCATTTCCCTTCCCCCACTGCTGCCAGTTCACCAGCAGCACCGTCCCAGGTGCTGCCAAGCCCACCACCACTGCTTGGTACAGCAGCATCCGAGTGGCTTGACAGAACAGCAGCAAAGGGAGCATCACCAAAGGGAAGCAGAGCATGAAACGGGGTGGTAAGGTCACTGCCTCGACTCATCCGAACCATCGGCAGGTGAAGGATCTCCTCCGGAGGACATGAAAGGGAACCACCCTCAGGCGCTCCCTCAGGTGAAACCTCAGGTGCCACTTCAAGTGCCACTTCAGGTGTCTTGTCAGGTGCCACCTCAGGTGTTTTTCCAACAGAGCCATCATGCCCCATCACCACAGCTCCTCTTTCCAAAGACGCATCCTCTCGCACATCCTCTCGCACGTCTCCTGCTCCTACCACCCCAATCACACCTTTCCCTTCCACCAATGAATCCCCTACTCTTTCCCCTCTGCTCGCTGTTGCACCCTCTCTCTCTGCCTCTGTCAACGTCCCCACTCCGCTCTCTCGTACCACCTCTCTTGAACCTAATCCTAACCCTGACTTGCCATGCACGCCTTGCCGCACTGCACCCCTCTCCTGCTCACTCTCGTGGTCCCCTTCACCCCGATCCCCCACCACCACCATCTCATGCCAGCCCTCCCACGCTCCCCTACTGCTGCTGCCGCTGCCCTTTTCCCGCCTGCCCTCCTGTCTTGTTTCCTGCGCCCCTACGGCTGCCGATGCCACTGCTGTCGCCACTGCTGCCACTGCTGCTGTCGCTGCTGCTGCTCCTTCAGATGCTACGTCTGCTTTTGCTTCTGCTGGTGCACCCACAGAGGCAGCAATAGCAGCAGAAGCAACTGCAGCAGCAGCCACAGAAACATCATTCACACTCGCGTACCCTCTCGCCTGCCACCCTTTCTCCTCCACCCTCTCTTCCACCACACCATCAGTCACATCCTTGCCCTCTGCTCTTCCCTCCATTCCACCCTCTTCAAGCCCCCCATCCATGAGCGAACCTTTGAGCTCTACACTCTCTTGCACATCTTTCGCGCTCTGAGGAGACTTTGGAGGTCGCGAGGCGACCACACTACCCCCCACAGCCTTCCCCTGAGGAGAGATACTTGACTCACCATGAACTACCGCTGCTACAGCACCTGTCGGCAGAACAGTCGGCACGCCATCAAGGCCGCCCACACCCCCCTGGGCGAGTCCCAGGGTGCCGGGAGAGCAGGAGAACCGCTGAGCCTGCTGCTCCACAGCCAGTAGCACCTCCCCCAGTCGCCCACTCAGTGACGCTGTCAGCCTCCTCGGACCCGGGCTCACCTCCCCTGCTGCCGCCCCTCCCCATGCTCCTCCTGTTCCTGCTGCTGCTACTACTGAGGCTCCTGTCCCTCCCCATGTGGACACACGGCCGCTGCCCCGCTTCCAGCTGCCAGCGCGGATCAGAGGGGGCGTGCGGGCCCTGTCAGGGCCAGCAGTGGCAGGGGCAGGGGCAGCAGCAGGCGTGGCAGCAATCGTGGCAGTACGTGTAACAGCAACAGGAGTAACAGCAGCAGCAGCAGCAGCAGCAGCAGCAGCAGCAGCAGCAGCAGCAGCAGCACCGGCAACAGCAGGAGGAGTAGCAGCAGGCACGGCAGCAAAACCCGGCATTATAGACCCTGCGACTACCGCCTCTTCCCGTTTCTGCTGGTCCCACTGCTCCTCCCTCTCCCCCTCCCACTCCCCTTCCCGCTGCTGCTCCTTCCCCTTCCTCTGCAGCAGCAGCAGGTCCCATGCAGCAAGGTCTGCAGCAATACCCGCACCACCACTCAGGATATTGGCAGACAAAGCAGCTCTAGCACTGGCACCTTCCTGGAAGGATCCTCCCCAGTGCTGTAACCTCCTGCCAGATGGTGGCAGTTTCTCGCTGCTTCGACTGCGCTCCACCTGCACATGCTGGTTCACCTGAACCTGCTGATTCACCTGAGACATCTCCTGGAAGCTTCGAGTGAAATCGAGCCACGATTCGCTCGTTACACCTGGTGGTGAAAGCCTGCCAGTCAGCCCCTGAGCTGACCCAGTCAACCCCTGAGCTGACCCAGTCAACCCAGAGGTCAACAGGTCAACACTCCCAATCCCAAGGGGCTGTTCACCCAACCCAGCTGGCACCGCGCCAGCTGGCGACACGTCAGCTGGCGACAGCCTGTCGTCGCTTCTACTACGCATCGCCTCCTGTGCTCCCACTTGCCCCTTGCCACTCCCATCAGGCGGTCGAGGGGGGCGCAGCAGGGGCAGAGCGGAGAGGGAGGGGAGTGAGGAGAGCGTGGGCAGTGAGGAGAGGGAGGGTAGTGAGAGTGCGAGCACGTGGTCAAGCCTCCCTTGAGACCTGCTGCTGGTGCTGCTGCTGCCGTCTGTGTGCGTTGGGGTTCTCCTCCCTGATTGGCCCACAGCTCCTGCTGATGCTGCAAGCTCAGCTGCACCTGCTCCTGCTCCTGCTCCTGCTCCGGCTGTTTTTGCTGTTGCTGCAATGGCTGCTGCCAGTGCTGCTGCGGCTCGATCAACCACGTCAGCATCACCATCAGAAGCGTCAATAGCTGCACCAGTACCAGCAGCAACAGAAGCAGCAGCACCAGTCGCACCAGCAGCAGCAGAAGCGGCACCAGCAGCAGCGGCAGCAGCTAGAGCTACTCGTCTGTGCTCAGGACTGTGGAAACTGGACCGCGAGCGGACGGAACGTAACGAGGGTCTCGGTTGCTGCTGCTGCTGCTGCTGCTGCTGCTCCTGCTGCTGCTCTCCCTCTTGGCCCTTGCTAACAATGCTAACTTTCCCCTCCTCTGCTACTTCTCCTCCTCTCCCGGCTGCTGCCTCATTCAATTCCCCATCCTTCTGCAGTTGATGTTGCTCCTCATATCTATCACTCCACCCTCCTAACTCCGGCAAACCACTCCAAACCGCACTGCTCCTCTTACTCCCACTCTGCCTGCTCTCATCCTCGTTATTACCACTCTGATGCAGGTTTAAAGCCTCCTCCCACCGTGAATCGCTTCCAAATACCACTCGCCTAGGCCTCGCCTTTTCCAATACCACAGGAATTTGCCCGTCTGATAGTCTGGTAACCAGGGGTGCGTCAGGTTGCTTGGTAACCACATGTAACTCTGCCCTCCTGCTCCTTGCACCAGGTGTTACAGATGTTCCCAGTCTGGCAGTTACCACATCCCCACTACGCCTTGCCCCAACAGTGCTGACATCAGCAGTGCCACCCGTGTCACTACTAACTCCCATCCCTCCTCCTCCTCCTCCTCCCTCTCCTCCTCTTTCTTCTTCCTCACTCACCCCTCCTTTCCCCATGCTGTTAGCCCTTATCCCTCCACCATCCCCCCCATCACTGTGCCTGCCGCCCACACCCTCTCCTTCCTTCTGGAACTGTAGCAATCTCGTGCATCGGGTCAGGACAAAAAGCAGCTTCATTATGAGCTGGCGCAGAGGGCTTCCGGGCGGCATGGCTTGTCTGGCGGCGTTCAGCTCCTGCACAATGGACTCACTCTGCCGCCCAAAATCGTCTGCTGACATGGCAAGGCAGCGCTCTGCTACGGATTTCAGCTGACGCACTCCCGCCGCCCATTCGGTGCCGCTGATGCTGCCTGTGCTTGGGGTAACTGCGCTGGTGCTAGTGCTGGTGCTGGTGGTAGGGGTTGCGGCAGCGGCAGCAGCAGCAGCAGCAGCAGCAGCAGAGGGAGGCAGTGGCGTCACTGCCTCTGGTGTCTTGAAGGAATGGCCTCCACCCCTGATACTGCTCCCTGCACCGCTGCCACTACCACTACCACCGCTGCTGCTGCTGCCGCCACCGCTTCTGCCGCTGCTGCTAATCTCGGCCTTGCCACCGGTGCTACTAACCCCACTACCAGCACCAGCACCATCAACAGCGGCTTTACCACCAGCACCAGCACTACCAGCACCAACACCACCGGCACTGGCAGCAGCAGCAGGAGTGACAGCAGTAGCAGCAGAGACACCAGCAGCAGCAGAACTGGTTTCTCCCAGGCCAAACGACACAAGGCGGGGACCCCTACCAATGCTGGGCACAGGCGTGACAGGGGTACAGGGGGAGTCCGAAGGGCACATGGGCGAGGGGAGGGGGGACTGGGCGGAGGACTGGGGGGGAAAGGGCGAGGGGGGCGAGTGAGCGGGGAGGAGGAGGAGAGGCGAGTGTGAGGGGAGGAGGGCGAGGGGGGAGAGCGGGTGGAAGATGTCGAGGCAGAAGCAGCGCAGCTCCGCGTCCATTTTGTCTTTTGCTGACTCGAGCTTTGTTCTCAGAGCGCCCAGGACAGGCTGCTTGAAACGAGGATGGGATTGGGTGGAGGCAGAGGAGGGGGGGAGGGAGAGCCAGGGTAAACGGGAGTTAGAATGCAAAGACGAAGTGCACGTGACGTAAGTCATATCTGAGGATGAATGCATGCACGTTCAAGTCTAGTCAAGTGAAGTCAACGCACCTTGGAGTCAAAGTGCACGTGGCGCAGGTCGTGCTTCAGTCTGGACGAGGGTGCAGAGATGGTGAGGTCGTTGCCTCGCACCGGCACTGCACGGCTGCGGTTGCCCGTCGTGCGATTCATGCTCTTCAGTCTCACTCCCTCTGCGCTTGCGAGTAAGGGAGCCTAGAGAGGAGAACAGGGAGGGGTGAACAAAGGGACGAAGGAGCAGAGATGGTGAGGTCTTTGCCTTGCACGGGCACCGCGCGGCTGCAGTTGCCTGTCGTGCGATTCATGCGCTGGAGTCGCGCTCCCTCTGCACTTGCGAGTAAGGGAGCCTATAGAGGAGAGGAAGACCGGGACGGAGGAAGGGGGAGAGGTGAACAGAGGGTGCAGAGATGGTGAGGTCGTTGCCTTGTACTGGCACTGCGCGGCTGCGGTTGCCCGTCGTGCAATTCATGCTATTGAGCCTCGCTCGCTCGGCGCTCGCGAGTAAGGGAGCCTAGAGGGGAGAGGCAGACAAGGAGAGAGGTGAACAGAGGGTGCAGAGATGGATGGTAGTGATTCCAGGAGAGGAAGCCAGGGTCGGGACAAGGAAAGTGCTGAAGAAACGGAGACTCGAAGAGGAGAAAGAGGCAGCGATTCCCAGTTTTGACGCTGCTGACGGGCTAATGCCGCTCCTCACAGACTAAAACCGTTGCTCTCCACCGGCGTATGCCACTCTCCACCGGCTAATGCCGCTGTCAACCGGCTAATGATGCTCTCCCCGTTCTTACCAACCCACGCTTCTATTGAAGGCTCTTTTAGGGTTTTCTTTTCCTGTCGCCCCTTACCTGGCTGGCTCCGGTCGCATGCATGGGCGACGGAGTCTTAGAAAGGTCCATAGACACCCTGCGATGTCGCACAGCGGCAAAATTCGCCGACGGTAGCGACGACGCGGCCACGGGTGGAGAAACGACCGGCACAGCGCTGCTGGGGCCGGACGACGGCCGGCTAGCCGTCGGCGACAGGCCGCCAGGCAAGGGTTCCGGTACAGGGTCCCGGCCGGCAGGGTCGTCTGCCGGCGGGAGCAAAAAATGAACGGTTTCCCGTGACCGAGGCATCACTGTAAATTAGTCGCTAAACAAATACAAAGTCTGAAATGCAAGCGCGTTCATGGTATGATTTTCCAGGCTTTTGCTAGCGTGCAGTTATTCTTATCGAACCGCTGACCGTGACTCCAAAGAAAGAAGCCAGCTCGGAAAAGAATAAGGCAATACACAAACGACAAGGATCCCTAGCTCTGTCGCTCGAAAATGTTAAAAAGGCTTGCGTGACGCCGATGTTCTACGACGAGAAGATGATGGGGGACGTGAGACAGAGCTAGCTGGCTATGCTTCGAACGTCGTCAACGTCAACCTAGGACGGAAGAGACGGGACTTGGGACGAAACTCGACGGGACGGAACGGAGCTCATTCACGGGACTCGGTCGGGACGGGAGGACAGGCATCGATGTGCACGGGTGGGGAAATAGGGGAGTAAAGAGGGGAGGAGGGGGGTGCCTGACTCCGAAGCGCGTGCCTGACTCGGCTATACTTTGGTGGGGCTGTACAAAAGAATGAAGTGCAATCGAACAGGGCCGTAGTCTACGCGGAGGACGGGGGGAGTGGAGGAAGGCAGGAGAGGGGAGATAAGATCGAGATTGGCTAGGCTACTGCTCCACGGGCCGAGCGTGCGTGAGCTATCACATGCTCGGCAAAATCAGTGGACCGGAATGGCGTGGCGTGACTGGCATGGGTCTTTCATGGCCGCGGGGTTTCCAATCCCAAGAAGCAAAACAACGAAGCGGGAAAAACGCACAGTGATGCTCGGCAGAATCCATGGGTGCTTACGGTGTCTCTTGATGATGATGGATGCATTGACCGTTAGACTAAAAGGGGGTCTGGACGGGCTTCTGGAATGTACAAACCAGCTGTAGATGAAAGGTCATTCACGGTCAGAGAGTTGCTTTACAGAGCGTTTTCAACTGACGGACCAACCGCAACAGGCCGTGTACTGTATTTGAGCAGTGAGGCAGCAGATTCGTACAGAAAATGGCGACTTTTCAACAATGCATGGTACTGTAACGCGTTTGGTGCATCCAGTGCACGATCCTCTTTAGGTTCAAACTCGAGAGCTTACCGGTATTCTAACTCACTTCACTAATGCAATGCACAAAACCTTTACCATGATGAGGAATACCTACATCTGGGTCAAGTTCAGATTACAAGGCGTATCCAGGTTCGGGTCATGAGCACTGTTCTGGCTACTGTTTGGGTCATGCGGAATTTGCGCATGACCCGTCATGGGCTGCCGAGCCGCGCGCGGCCCCAGCTTTGGGTCAATGTGTAGGTGTTGTGCGGCTGACGTGCACGACCCACCCACAGCCAATCACATGGTTGCACGATTGTGGTGTTACTGCCAACTTTTTGTCGATCGGCAGTCGAGTGTCACACGTGGGCAATTTCCCACGTCTGACACCTCTGCACCCAACCACTCGGCAAATCGACCCCGAGTGTGTCTAAAATTTATTGCGTCGCGCTCCCAACATTTGGAAATTCGCTCCGGGAATTTTGGGGGTTGTGTTTTCTCAGTGAGCGTTACGTGGTTTTGCGTGGGTCTCGCTGATGACCTTTCGAAATGTTCTGGCATCCCTCCATTGGATGCGACTGTTGTTGTGAGCTAGATTTTGGCGCGAAAACCCTCGCAGCAATATGGGGGTCGCATGACCCAAACATGCGTTCTATGTTGTTTGGGTCATCCGCAAATCGCGCATGCCCGGAACAGTGCTCATGACCCAAACCTGGATACGCCCTAAAACTAAGACCTCGGATATGGCAGATCGTTAAGAATTACCAATTTTTATATACTTACAAAATCAACAAAACATCTTTTATTTGTGCCTCGCGGAAACGAAAGAATGATGTTATGTTGATTCGCTCTGCTACTATGCTGTTATTTTTTATTGCTGTTGCTTGACATTTAGAGGTGTTAGGCATGTTGCATTTGACCCATAATTGTATTATATCTTGTATATCTAGTGTACTATGTTGTGTGTAGTAAACCTAACATATTTGGTGCCGCATCAGCCGCTGATGACTCCAAATGCTGGCCCATTTCCCCGCTAATCAGGCATCGTTTGCACCTGGGACTCGCACGGGCACATGAGTGTCAGAAACAAGAAGTGTTGAACTAGAAAGATGTTGGAGTACAAATTGGAAACCCTAGTGAAATGTACCCCCTAAAGGCTAACCCACTGTAGCCTGCACAACAGAAACATATATAATGTTTGACACACCCCCATAGGCTAAGTGGGAGAGAACAAGGGGTCACAGGACCAGTCAAGCCAAGCAAAGCAAGCTCAGGGTGGATCACAACGTCACCACACACTCTGAGCACAGGCAAAGGACCACAAGGTCAGTTCACATGCAGAGGCATATATGTAGCACAAACATCATAGTGATCTATGTCTAGCAAGCATGCAAGTATAGATATATAGATCACAGTACAGGCAAAGTCTACAACAAGTGAGGAAAAGTGGGCACAAGCCCTAGCAAAGTGCAGAAACGCTGATGATCACCAGACTGAAGTGCCTTGGTGAATATATCAGCAGTGTTGGCCTGAGAGGCCACGTAACGCAGACGAAGCTGACCACGCTGCTGCAACTCTCAAGCCAGGAAGTAACGTAGAGCGATGTGCTTCGTCCTGTGCTCCAGTCTGTGCTCCTCACACAAGGCAATGGCAGCCTTGTTGTCGACGTACAGCACTGGAGGAGAACGAGGCCGCTCTCCCAGGTCGGTCAGCAGGTAGGTGAGCCAGCGTAACTCCTGTGCAGCCATGGCTGTGGCGTAGATCTCAGCCTCTCAACTAGAGCTGAGAACTGAAGACGAACGAGTAGAACGCCAAGAAACTGAACCAGAGCCAAGGCTGAAGGTGTAACCCTGTGACGACCGCTGAGTAGCCTGGTCGTCAACCCAAGAAGCGTCTGAGTGCCCAGTGAGAACAACTGGGCTCCCTCCTCCAAGCACGAGCCCCATGCCCGATGTACTGCACAAGTAGCGCAATACCCTCTTTGCAGCATCCCAGTGCACCTTTCGGTGCCTGCCAGGAGCCACATAGCGGGCCAGAAAGCCAAGAGGGTATGCTAGGTCAGGACGAGTGCAAGTCATCAGGTACATGAGGCAAACAACTAGCTCTGGGTAAGGACCACTCGGCTCTACGGACTCATCCGAAGGCAGAGCTGAGAGCGAGTGACCTATAGCCAGAGGAGTGGCCTGTGCTGAGGACCAGGAGAAGCCGAAGCGCTGAAGGACCTGCTGCACCATGTGTGACTGAGTCAGTGTGATGGTGCGGCGTGCTCTGTCCCGGGTGATCTGCAAGCCAAGGTAGCTGCGCAGTTCACCCAGGTCAGTGCACGTGTGTCTCTTCTGCAGCTCCGACTTCACGTGGGCGAGAGCCTCAGTGTCAGCAGTGGCAAAGACCAAGTCGTCGACGTACACGAGGATGTAGAACGGCGGCAGCGAAGTGTCGGTGCGCAGAAACAGCGACGCGTCAGCAGTAGAAGGCGTGAACCCAAGTGACGCAAGAGTAGTCCTCAGTGTGTCGTGCCACTCACGTGGCGCCTGACGGAGATCGTAGACCGGCCGCCGGAGGCTCCACTGGGTACCAGGAGGAAACGACCCAGTGAAGCTAGGAGGGCGGCGCAGCCAGATCTCCTTGTGCAGGCTGCCCTGCAAGAAAGCTGTGCTGAAGTCAAGAGAGTGAAGCTCGTAGTCACGCTGAGCAGCAACGTGCAGTAGCACCCAAAGAGTGGTCATCTTCGGGGTGGGGGAGAAGGTCTGGAAGAAGTCTACTCCCTCTCGCTGACTGAAGCCTCGAGCAACGTAACGAGCCTTGAAGACAGGCGGAGAACCCGGCGGCCGCTTCACCCTGAAAATCCACATGCCACTGACGATGTTCGTCCCAGGAGGGGGAACCTCGTCGACGTAAGTGCCAGTGGACTTCCAGGATGCCATCTCTGCGTCCATGGCTGACTGCCACTGAGAGGAGTACTCACCCGCGATCGCCTCAGCGTAAGAGCGCGGGGTCGGGATGTCTGGAGCATCCGGGTCTCCCTCAGGGGCAATCAGCATGGACACGAGATGAGGCGCAGCGGCTGCAAGACACTCAAGGTCCTCCTGTCTGTCCTCAAGGACGTCCGTTCCTAGAGCACACTCACCCCCGACGGACGGAGGACAGACAGACTCAGACTCAGCAACAAGACTGGCGTCGTAGTCTAGACGACAGTGAGCAGCAAAGTCGACAAGCTCAGTAACTAGGGCAGACGCAGCAGCAGACTCAAAGGAAGGGTCAGTGACAGCAGTGGCTAGGAGACGCGTGACAGTAGGACTGGCAGCACGAAGAGAGTCAGACTCCGGGTCAGCAAGAACAGGAAGAGAGGACGCAGGAGGAGACGGCAGAGGGACACGCTGTGGAGCAGTGGAAGGACGCAGAGTCATATAGTGTGTGCCAAGGACAGGTGGAGGACGCTCACGCGGACCACGGCGACCAGTGCGAGCAGCACGAACAGGTGACACAGGACGAGATACAGGCGACACAGGACGAGACTCAGGCTCACGACGCTCTGTAAGACCGCCTGTCGGACCAGCGTAGGGAGAAGGACCAGGAAGTGGCGAGGCAGGCGGTAGCTGTGACTGCGACTGGACAGGCGGAGGACACTCTAAGGAGGGAGGAGAACTAGGAGGAGGCGGCTGACCAAGAACCTGCTGAAGGAGCGGAACGAAGTACGGCCGCGGTCGTGAAGCGCCCCCAGAAGCAGCAGAGACAGCACCAGAACCTCCAGCCGAACCAGCACCAGCAGCACCTC